TCCGCCTATGATTTGGTATTTTCAAAGCCAGATGACAGCCTACCCGAAAACTTTAAGAATTCGGTAGAAGGCAAGTACTTCACTTGCCTTGAATTATATGAGGTGACCAAAGCTAAAATTGCCGATCAACTGTCGTTGATTAGAGTGATCGCCGCACCGAGTCCACCACCCCGCGTGGAACACACCTCGGCAGAGGCAAACGTTTTTCTCCAAGCCCCACCTTGTGACACGGAGACATTTTACGGCGGTTACGAAGAATGGCCCGCTTTTCGTGACATATTCACAGCGGTGTACATCAACCACCCGAAGCTCTCCCGTGCTCAAAAGTTGTATCACCTCCAGCACAAAACCCAAGGAAAAGCTGGCTCCATCGTCAAGCATTATCCGCTCAGCGATGATAACTTCGAGCTGGCCTGGGAAGCTTTACGGTCACGATACGAAAACAAACGTATCCTGGTTGACAACCAAAAAAATTTTGATGACTTTGCCGACTATTCAATCCGAGAATAGCGAGCAAATTCAAAGGCTGCAAACATCAATTAACAACTGTCTGTCAGTTCCATATTGGTGTACATATGCTCATCCAAATTGACCGAAACCACACTGTCACTTTGGGAACAATCTCACTCTTCTCGAAGAGATTTACCCTCATGGTCACAAATGGACGATTTTCTTACTTCAAGATACGAAGTAGTCGAAAGACTTAACCGGCTTCATCCAAGCCAAAATAAACAAAAACCAGTCGCTCATCAAAATGCTGCACAAAACAGGTCCTTTAACAGGACGCAAACCTTTGTGGCAGAACCTAAGAGGGAAACAACTTGCTCTTACTGCAAGTCCCCTCATCCCATTAGAGTCTGCCCACAATTTAAGCGAATTTCGGTACCAAACCGAGTACAATTCGCAAACCAAACCAAGCTGTGCAAAAACTGCCTTGGTAATACCCATAGCACTAATGAGTGTCCGAGCAAGTGGTCATGTACACATTGCCAAGAACGGCATCACTCCCTGCTGCACATGAATCCCAAACCATATTCTCGACACTCCAGTGCGCGAGCGAATGAAACCGCCGCACAACACACTACTGCCCAGTCGACACCTCCCGCTCGACAAGCGCAGTCAAGCTCCAATTCCAGCGAGCAACCGTGCTGTTCCAAACAAGCACAAATACAATCATTGCACGCCGACAATAATAGCAAAATTCTCCTACCAACTGCCATGGTCGCGGTTGAACACGAAGGGGAATTGTTTCAACTTAGAGCCTTGATTGATCAAGGCTCCCAGAGAACTTTCATTTCCTCGAAAATTCAGAAACGGTTGAAACTACCATTCGAACATTCCAAGTTCGAAATTTCCGGCTTGGGTGGACACGTAGTACAAAGCTCCTCAAAGCTTTGTCCACTCACATTGGTTGCACCCAAAACCATGCAACGGATAAACATACAGGCTAGCGTGTTACCTCAGCTCACGAGGCACATTCACCATTAGCCGTGAAAACTGGCAGCGATTCAAGATCCTTGAACTTGCTGACCGAAGTTGCCACATACCAGCTCAAACTGATATGGTAATCGGCAGCGATATACTTCCACAAATCCTGCTGGAAGGTATACAAAATAACCGAAATGTGGTGGCATTCTCGACACAAGTAGAAGAGTGCAACTCTCAGCTCTCAGCTTCTAAAGTTTTGGGAAGAGGAGGAGATTCCACAACCTTCACAAATTTCATCTGAAGATCAGGCATGTAAGCATATATATGCAACAACAACGACTCGTGCCGCAAACGGTCGATACATTGTGCGACTTCCATTCAAGGAAGAATTTCCAAAAGAGCTGTCTCTGGGCCACTCTCGGTCTGCTGCACTTCAGCAGTTTTTTAGCATGGAGCGATGGCTCCAGAAAAAGGAGACTTAGGCACATTGTACAACAATGTGCTGCAAGAATATCTCGACCTCGGTCATATGGAGCACACGAAGCCATGCGAGATAATTTCTAATGGCAAATAAGGTAACCACCAAAGTTCGCGTGGTATTCAACGCCTCAAAAACATCTGGTTCAGGAAAATCCCTGAATGACGTGTGGCACACTGGTTCCACACTCCAACCAGATCTCATGCTGCTCATTCTGCAGTGGCGAATGCACAGATTCGTGTTCAATGGCGACATTGAAAAAATGTATCGTCAAATACTCATCCATGAGGACGATAAAGATTTTCAGCGAATCTTATTTCGCACATCGGATGACTCTCCTGTCACCGATTATAATCTTACAACCGTAACGTTCGGCGTTAATTGTGCACCATATCTCGCTTTCCGTACCCTGCATCAATTAGCAGATGACACGATAGCGACGTTTCCCTTGGCTGCCACAATACTTAAAACCTATCCTATCCGGAAGTCATGATATCGACAACGCCACTGAATCACTTGTTCAAGTGAACAAAGCGCTGAAGTCAGCTGGTTTCATACTCAAGAAACTAACGGTCAATCATCCGGCCATTTTAGAAAAATTTCCAAAGGAGGATCTTCTCGACTCCAACTTTATGAAATTTGAGAGCGCTTCCACAACCAAAACTCTTGGTATACAATGGAACGCACTCACAGATAAATTTTCAAACACCATTCTGCCTGCATCGACTTCGAATGCCGTCACAAAACGACACATTTTATCTTCTGTCGCAAAACTTTTTGACCCGGCAGGATGGCTGTCGTCAGTGATGATTCAAGCAAAGATTCTGCTTCAAGAACTTGGCTGGATGGCGTTGATTGGGACGAATGTGCCAAACCCATAGCTTTAGCAAAATGGCAACAGTTCGAAGAAAATCTGCCAGCCGTCTGCTACATCGAAATCCCTCGATGGGTTAATTTCACTCCGGGGCAAGATACCCAAATCCACGGGTTTTGCGATGCCTCGAAAAAAGCATATTGCGCTGCGATTTACATCCGCGTAGATGCTAGCAACCAAAGATATTCCAGTCTCTTGGTTGCAAAAAGCAAAGTCGCACCATTGAATACGGTAAGCTTGCCACGCCTGGAGCTGTGTGGTGCAGTCTTACTCGCAAAACTGGTCGCAACTTTTCGAAAACAGCTCAAATTGGAATCGTGCAACACTTTCTTATGGCCAGATTCAGAGATTGTGCTAGCTTGGCTTGAAAAGCCACCATGTACATGGAAGACGTATGTATCCAATCGTACCTCCCAAATCCTGAAATATCTTCCAACCGGTACATGGCGCAATGTTGCCAGCCAAGATAATCCAGCCGACCTCGGCACCCGCGGGTGCAAACCGCAGGATTTGGCGAATTCCCCACTCTGGTGGCACGGACCAAAATGGCTCTCTTGACATATGGATGCATGGCCAAGGTCAAAGGCGTGCAATGCATCTCCACAGAAAAGCGCAAGGTGGAGGTATATCACGCGCTCGAAGAAGAGGTCGATTTTCTTGATCGCTTTTCTTTTTCTCTCGATCACTCCGCGTGACTGCGTACATGTTCTGCTTCGTGAGCAATGACCGCAACCAATCAAAGGGGTTAGCTACAATCACCTATCCACATCTGACACATAACGAATTTCAATATGCAAAAATTCGTCTTATCAACGCAGCGCAACCACGCCATTTTCCGAGCGAGAAAAGCGCTTTGCAAAATAAAAAGCCACTTAACAAAAAATTCCTCTTCTTGTTCTCAATCCTTCATTGGACAAAGACGGACTTCTACGGGTTAATGGCCGATTAGCACATTCGACATTGAGCTATAATCAAAGGCACCCAATAATTCTCCCTACCGAATCGAGGTTCTTTCAGCTATATTTGGAGTTTTTACACTCGCTGCTTCTTCACGCAGAAACACGATTAATGCTCCAAATGGTAAGGCAAGAGTACTACGTACCAAAGCTAAAACCTCTAATTAAAAAATGCATTTTTCAATGCAAACAAACACGCACCAAAATTATTATGGCCGCTCTACCCCCTGAGCGCTGCAGTTTCTCACTCCCATTGTCCACAACGGGAGTAGATTTTGCTGGGCCATTCCAAATTAAAGCATCGGTGCTAAGATCTACCACCCTTATCAAGGGATACGTTTCAGTTTTTGTGTTTTTCCACAAAGGCAGTGCATCTCGAGCTATGCTCGGATCTTACAACCGAGGCTTTTCGAGCAGCATTCGCCCGCTTCGTTGACAGACGAGGTTTCCCCTGAAAAATGATGAGCGACAATGGAGAAACGTTCATAGGCGCCCAACGCACTACAGAACGCGACTTCGTTAAATTCCTTAACGAATGTTCCGTAGACATTGTAAAAAAATATGCCCCTCAAGGCATCAACTGGCAATATATACCACCCAACGCCCCCACATGGGCGGCTTGTGCGAATCTGCAGTGAAAAGATTTAAAATCCATCAAAAAAACCGCTGCAACCCACAAATTTACCTTCGAAGAATTCACGACGCTTCTGGTGCGAATTGAAGCAGTCCTCAGTTCGAGGCCTCTGTCTGCACTTTCCCAAGAACCAGCTGATATGACTGCACTTACTCCGGGTCACTTCATTCGAGGTGCACCGCTATTGGCCATGCCCGAGCCTGATGCGGAAGACCTCCCCCCTACTAACCCGGTGGGAGAAAGTCAAAGCACTTCACCACCAATTTAGCCGCAGCTGGAAAGAAGATTACCTCAAAGATCTTCAGAAGAGATACAAGTGGAAAACCCCACAACGCGATCCTCAGCCAGGCGACCTCGTCGTGATCAAAGAAGATTCTCTCCCCGCCACCGAGTGGCGATTGGGACGAATCGAAAACGTTTCGCCACGGCCCTGATAAACACATACGTGTCGTAGAAATCCGTACAAAAATTGGAGTTATCACGCGGCCACTTGTCAAACTGTGCTTCCTTCCAAAAGTACAATAAATAATTCTATACATATTTTCCTTCTGTATATTAAGGGTCTTAACTTCCCGTTTAAATATTGTACCCAAGTACTTCTCGTTTCTCTACCTTTGCTTCTACTTCCAGATCGAAGACATCACGGCATCAAGGAAGGCATGCCCCCTGGCTCCAACGGCGGAAACGGGCAACTGCCTACAATGCCGGCTCTGCCACCGGTACCACGCCTTGCGGACGTGCTCGGCCTTCAAGGCGATGAAGCCGCTAAAACGGTTGGGAGTAGCCCGAGCACAGGGTTACTGCATCAACTGCCTTGCCCTCACCCACACTACCGGGGAGTGCGACTCGCCAGGCAGCTGCAAGACCTGCAGGCTAGCGCACCACACGCTGCTGCATGTGGCAGCCAATAACCATGCGCGCACAGGCCAACGAAAGCAGCAGCCCAAGCATCGCGCACATGCAGGGAAGCCAGTAAAGACGCCCACCAACAAGGGAAGCCCGGAGCAAAAGGCGCAGAACCCGCGCAACCAGGCGCACAATATGCGCAATCAGGCATCGCAACCGCCGCGCAAGAAGACCGCCCGACGCTCGATTGCGCGCACCCTCCAAGGCCTGACACACACACACACACTCAACGTGTATAGTGGTCAACATCCATAGAGTGAAGACGTGTTTTTTTCAAGTGCTCCTGTGGAAAGTGTAGAAAAATAATAACCAAGTGACAAAAATAGTGTTGAAAGGTGCCGATAGCCTTAAATTGCGTCACCATAGATCGAGGGCGCCAAGGCATCGCCTCCTAAGCATATACAGTGTCTGAACTTAAAATAAAAAATTAAAAATCAAAGACTCATAAAACTCGCTTAACTACTTGCCTACTGCTTCGAAAGCGAAGAAGGGAGAGCTGGTAAGCAATCGGCGCGATACACTTAGAGTACACAAGTACCCAGCAAAGGGTCACCGACCTTGCCAATAACCTTCTCCCTCTACTGCTGGTAGCAACAGTGCTTAAAATTACAAATACCAAACCAAGCACTGAATACCTTCGGCCTGGCGAGTATGAAGAGAAAGCGAAATAATGTCAAAAAGCGATAATGCAAACGATGCTCTCGACGCTTTCGCAAGCCGAGCGAGAATTGCGCGATCACCAGTGAGAAAACAATTACTCACACCCGATCAACCAATTGCGAGCGCACAACAACTGGAGGTAAAATCTCCGATCTTCAGAGATGCGTGCGAAAGACATCAAAGCGAAAGTGATGGAGCAGATGAGACAAAAGAAGAGCGAGAGTTAATCATTGTGTTAGGCGAGAGCATAAGAGAGCTCATCAATATGATGGAAGGGCAGCGGCACATTAACATGACGATGAGAGAGCTAGTAAGCTCAATAGCCAAGCAGCACCAGAAAATACTGGCTGAATATAAGGTAGTGCCACCGCCCACTGCATGCGACTCTAAAGCAACACAAACGGAGAGCAATACCAAGGAGAAGAAAAAAAGAGCTAATGCTGGTAACAAAGAGCTGCACGCAATGAAGACTGGCCATCCAACAATGCAGCACTCCCACGTCGCTACGCAGAACGAGCCAATAGGCGCGCAGCCTATGCCATTGCAACGCGAAGGGAAAATCGGCGCAAACCAACCAGGCGCCAGTGGAGGCGATCACATAGGATCGAAAAACAGCCAATAAACGGAGCGGTGGATTAAGGTATCGGGACGTAAGGTTAGAAGTAAACCAATGAAGCCCGATGCTGTGATCTTGAAGAAAAACGGCGATATGACATACGCAGATATGTTGAGGAAAATCAAATCACAGCCTGAACTAACTGAACTCAGCCTGAATGTTAAAAACATACGGAAAACGGCAAGCGATGAGCTTTTGTTCGAACTCAAGAAGCCGGCCAATCATTTAACCCAAAAGTTTAAGGCAGCGGTTGAAACTATACTGGGCGACAATGCGCAGGTCCGATCCCTCACCCAAGAATCACTAATTGAAATTAAAGATTTGGATAAGGTAACATCCAAGGAGGAGGTGCTGAAAGCGGTAAACGATAGCCTTATCGACGCCCATATTGGCCTGACGGCAATTCGGTCCATGCGAGCTGCATATGGGAACACGCAAACCTGCACCATGAGTCTGCCAACAGCAACTGCTTATAAGCTGCTGGAAAAATCAAAAGTCCGCATCGGATGGGTTTTTTTGCCCCATAAGGGAAAAAGAAGATTTGGTGAGATGCTACAAATGCCATGAATATGGACATGTAGCTAAGAAGTGTAAGAACGAAGAGGTGCGGAGGAAAAGACCATAAAGCAAGAGTCTGTTCAAATAGCCCGTCATGCGCCCTCTGTGCCAAACAAGGCGAAAGCAACCCAAACCATGTAACAGGCAGTCGCTTTTGTGTGGCCTTCCAACGGGCGAGAGCAAAACAAGGAGCTACTAAACAACGGCGATCATGAGGTGTCTACAGCTCAACCTCAACCATTGCCAAGCGGCCCAAGAGCTGCTTACACAAACAGTTTTCGAGCAAAATATTGACCTCGCCTTATTAAGTGAACCTTATGAAAATGAAGAAGACCTAGCGTGGATAAATAATATAACAGGAAAGTGCGCGATCTGGAGCTGCAACACCACCCCGCAGCACCTTGTAGTAACTTCATCCACAAGCGGGTTCGTAAGCACCAGAATAAACGATTTATACGTCTATAGCTGCTACATACCACCGAGCACTGATCTGGCTAGCTTTACAGCCATCATCGACGAGCTAGTTTGCGAGACTTCAACGCTTGGGCAGTAGACTTCAACGCTTGGGCAGTAGAGTGGGGATGCAGAAGAACAAACGCAAAGGGTAGACAATTACTCGATGCTCTAGCAGCACTTAATGTTATTCTGCTAAATACTGGCACCGAAAACACTTTTTGTAGGAACGGAAGGGGATCCATTATCGACCTGACCTTTATAAGCAGTGGGCTGAGCAGGGATGCCACCTGGCATATCAGCGACTGCTACACCCATAGCGATCACAGGGCAATAATAATAACCATCGAGAAACCAGCTATCGACATAGCCCCTCCCAAGAGACGCCTCGGATGGAAGGTAAAAAGCTTTGACGAAAAACTCTTCGAGGTAGCCTTCAGCAATACGCACGTTTCAGGCCCGGCAGTAGCCGCAGCACCTGAGCTCATGAAAGCCATTGTTGAGGCTTGTGATGTAGCTATGGTGCGCCAAAACCGGCATAAAGCTCGCAAGCCAGCTTACTGGTGGAACGACGAGATAGCCGCGTTACGAACACAATGTAACCGTGCCAGAAGAGTTTGCCAGCGCTCACGAAACACAGAAAATGCTACTCATCTCCGGATGGACTATAAGGAAAAGCGAAAGCTGTTTAAGAAAGCTATCTATGACAGCAAAAAGCTAATGTTTAAAGACATCTGATATGAATTGATCAGCAACCCTTTCGGGTTTGCTTACAAACTTGTGCTCAAAAAATTTGAGTATACAGTACAGCCAACATGCCCCACGCTCCTTGCACAAATCGTACACGATCTCTTTCCCGCACATACAACGTTCACGCGGGAACTCTGTGAGGAACCTACTAGTACCGTCCCGGAGGTAACGGTAGAATAGGTCACAAGTGCGGGAGGCGAGATAGCCGTTAACAAGGCACCAGGACCTGACGGAGTACCAAACGTAGCCCTAAAAAAAGGCGATTGCTTGCAATCCGGAATTATTTGCTAGCGTCTTTACTTCATGCCTTCGCGAAGGAATCTTCCCAAACATATGAAAGCTCCAGAAGCTGGTACTCATACCAAAGGTCCAAAACCCTACTTCTTCTGCTGGATATCGCCCATTGTGCATGCTGGACTCCACCGGTAAGGTACTCGAGCATATTATAAAACGTAGACTCGAAGAGGCCACAGAGATTCATCTATCTAAAAACCAATTCGGATTCAGAAAAAGGTGTTCACCTACAGACGCAATCGATGTAGTTAAAGCAATCGCTGAAAAGGCCATTGCTGGCAAGCGGTGGTTGGGTGGTACTAAGAAATACTGCCCGGTTGTCACCCTTGACGTCAAAAATGCGTTTAACAGTGCGAGCTGGAAGGAAATTTTAAATGCCCTCCGCGCCTTAGAGGTGCCAACTTACCTGCAGGCAATCATTTCCAACTATCTTTCGGATAGAATGCTTCGCTATGACAGCGAAAAACAAACGACTGACAAAGTAGTATCATCCGGCGTGCCCCAGGGATCGGTACTAGGACCCCTCCTGTGGAACGTCATGTACGATGGCATCCTGCGACTAAAAGTCCACAAAAGCGCAACGTTTGTAGGTTTCGCGGACGACGTATCAATCGTGGTGGAGGCCAAAACACTCAGAGAAATTACAGACATTGCGGAAGCCGCAATAACAGCAGTCAAGCAATGGTTAAATGCTAAGGCGCTAACGCTAGCAGACCACAAGACCGAGGCTGTACTTATAAGCACCCGTAAGAAAGTTGAAAAGGTTGTACTTAGAGTAGGAGATAGCGTTATAGAGTCGAAACCATATGTGAAGTATCTTGGCGTCCTTATAGATCATCGCCTATGCTTCCGTGACCACTTAGAGTATGCTAACCAAAAAGCTGCGGGGACGGCAGCCGCTCTTTCTCGGTTAATGGCGAACATCGGCGGGCCAAGACAGGCGACAAGGCAAATCCTAGCAGCAGTGGTGACATCCATACTCTTATACGGGACAACGGTCTGGAGTAACGCCTTCAAGCGCCCTTCGTATACTCGGGGTATTAGGGCTACGCATCGTCTCTGTGCTCTTAGAGTCTGTTCGGCTTTTAGAACAGTATCACAAGAAGCAGCCCTTGTTATAGCAGGCCTATGCCCACTCGACCTCGTGGCTCAAGAAATGAGCGACACAAGACAGGCAAAGCGTGACCAAACACACGCTGCCGGAACCGTGGATAAAAATGCACTGAGGCAGCGCAGCATATCCCAGTGGCAGAAAAAATGGGAGAAAGCGTCGAACGGTAGGTGGACTTATCGGCTTATCACGAACATTGGCGCCTGGGTGGAACGACAACACGGTGAGGTAGATTTCTACCTCACACTAATTCTGAGCGGGCACGGATGCTTTAAGGCTTATCTCCACCGCTTTC